TATATTAAGCCCATATGTGCAATGTCTTACATTTTTATGTGATACTGTAAATCTGCCTACATCTTTATAGACAAGTAATGGTAGCTTTCCCAGCAATGATGCAGAAGCATGTTAAGATGATCTTGCCATAGCTGAGATGCAGGCAAAACTTAATCATGTATGTGGCATTATTAATATCTAAATAAATGTAGAATCAGCTTAGCAAAACATTTACCATTAACACCTAAAATTATACAAACAAAAATAACAATACAAATCTTTATAAGGCTATCTCAAGGTTTTTCCATAATCTTGGAATTTTGAGCTTTTACATTTTTTTTCCTTTATAGTTGCCATATTTTGCTGTAATCCAAGCAGCAATATCCAACAACCTCTCAAATAGTAAATGGATAGCAGTTTTTTTGAGTAACCAAAAAGCAACATGTGCACCTGTTTCAATATTTCTTTAATTGATCTTTTTTTTTTTAAAGGGAACTATATTCTCATTAACCTTCTATGACATCAAATATTAATTACATCATTATATTTGACAAGGTACACAATCTTATCCTCACTACTTTCTTAAATCTGATAAGAAGTTTAAGCCTGTGAAGAGTTAAACATATAATTAATGTCTTGATAATTCAATATATATAAGTATACATTTAAGGATGATTTAGGTGCTTTGGGGTGTGTTAAATTATATGTAAAATAATTTATAAATAGAAATCTCCGGGTAGCTGATTATGAATTACAGCATTGTCAGTGTTAATGTTTTAATTGGAAAAGAGGTTTAGATTAGTCAGTAATATTAAAGTATAATTCCAATTCCACAGAAGAAAAAATTTATAATCTAGCACAAAGTATTTGAAATGTAAGCAGAAGCCTCTTGAAATGCCCGAGGAAAAGATAAGGACATGCATATTCACCCTCTCCAATGAAGAAATAAGAAAGGACAGAAACGGATGTAGGAAAAACAAGGCAAAACAAACAAACAAACAGCAAAATTGGAAATTTTGTGTGACAGAGTCAGACTGAGGTTAGGAGAGAAAATAAGAAAAAGGCATGAAAAGGAAAAAAATAAATAAAAATGTCACATAGTATTAAATATGATTTTTGATCAGAATAATACGCAAGAAAAACAACAAAAAAACACTGGTGGAGTTTATTGCAAAACATTTCCTGTCCTGTTCTCTTCATCTACAGGTGTCCCTAAAGACCTGAACACACTAAATTCGATTTTGCGTCCTATCTGACAGAAAATTGTGTCAGAGGAGGTTGTAGCATATAGCGCTCATTGAAAGTCAATGGGGATGAAAACGCCCAACACGATTTTCTCCAAGGGGACCTGCTTAGCTCCGACTGAGATAGATCCCAGGTATATTTTAGTAGGACTAAGCAGCAATTCAGCGGCAATTTCATGGATCTGACAGGAAGAGAGACGCTGTTACAAAGTAAAGCACATGTGCTTTGGGGGAAAGTATAAAATTAAATTTGTTAATCACAGGAGAAAACAGACAGTTTCGGAGACGCACATCGAGTTTATAGCAAGTGGGATGCATTCATGCAAAATCAATCAATTAATTATATGGTAAAAAAAAAAGGTATTTTTATTTGGACAGAAAACAGATAAAGTACTGGTCCTCTTTGAGCCTTGCAAAAACGAGGGACAGAAAGCGCAGTTTAACTTTCTCCTCGAAAAAGAAAATAAAAACTTCAGGACAGAAAAAGGATATAGTAAAAAAAGTGATCCTCTTTGAGCCGCACAAAAACAAAATAAGGAGTGGCAGACGGAGCAGCTTATCTCTTTCCCCTCTTTATCAAAAAAAGAAAAACAAACATTTCAGCTTTAACCAACTCCAGAGAACTCTGCAAGAATCACCTCTCACTGCCTGTCCGAACATCTGCCCTAATCCCCAAATCCCTCAATAACTATATACATACTGTAGATCCGGGACTAGATGGTGGACTTTACAGTAAACTCAGTTAACCGACTGTTCAGACAGATGATTACTGCATTTCGCTCCCCACTGACCTCATAACTCTGCCTCCCCGCACGGTACCTGCACCATCTTAATTATTTGTCGTCACCGCAACAAATCCGAAGATGCTTTGCGAGGAGATCTCTTGCAAGCAATCTGGGATATATCTGCTCGTCTAGTCACAACAAATGATCCCTATTCTTCAAGGTGTATTGTGGGAAATTTCAAGTCCACTTCTTTTTCATCCACTAGACCAGGGGTCTAGTTTTCCAGGCCAAGGACCCCCAAACTGATGGTGAGATGGAGCGGTAACCCCCTAATTATATATATTGTATGATATTGTGTTATATGAAGCTGGTCCTATAGTCACTATTGCCTATGGCGTAATGTAACAAAAGTAATTTCTCCCTGGGATTATTAAAGTATTTCTGATGCTGATTCCTGGTTGATGGGACAGGTGTTGTGAATGAAACGGTGACCAGCTTGAAAGAGCTCCTGTGTGTCGCTGAATCTGTGAATTGATGGCTGAAAGACATCTTCTGCTTCCATTTATCTGTTTACTACAGTCTGTTGAATTCATGTTAATGTGTTTTTGAACACATTTCAAATAGTAGAAAAAAACTGCAGGGGGAAGATGAAAAAAAAAAAGTCAGATCAACCAAAATTTTTGTGACCCCCATGCAGTACCTCAGTTTCAAGTAGTTCAAGTTGAGTACCTCCGTAAACCCCCTAGGGGTCGCTGGCCCTCTGTTAAAGACCTCCACATTTGGTCACTCATTATTGCTGCGTTTTCCTTGTTTTTTTTTTTGTTTTTTTTACATACACCTCATTATGTTTTTACTATAGGCCATTCAAAATAGTCTCTGTTCTGGTTAGATATGCAGCACAGACTAAGTAGAGTAGGTTGTTTTTTTTTCTTTTATTACTTATTTTTATTAAATATTCATATTCTGTCCAAGTTAACTGTAGGAAATAATTATAATTTGTGTGTAGCACAAGGACAGAAGTGGAAAAAAAAAAGTCTCCACAGATCTGCTCACCCTGTCTAGTAAAAGCGCCTCTATAAAAAGTCATACACAGCTGGTGTGTTCAGGCCTTAATAGGGACAATAAATCATTTCATCTGCTTTTCTCTTCAATCCAGCAGGCTTTAGTTTTTAACTTTTGCTCAAAATATCTGTTTAATCAATGTCCGTTTCATTCCAAGTGAAGCAATACCAGCAGAACATTTAGTTGGAAGCATCATACAGCGATAATAAGATCATGGCTAAGTATGAGACCAACATATAGACCAACACTTGTGAATAATGTGGTTTAGCCTGATTTATTAAAAATACAAAACAGGGAATCTGTCTTTGTAACCTTTATATCAAGGAGTATTACTACTGTTTCAGGTGGGAACTTGCATGCAAACTGCAACTCTTATTTAACCTTGCACATCCGAGTAACTTTGATTAATTATTTTACAAACTACGACTATTACTCCCTCTTTTGCAAATATCGATTGTCCTCTGTGTCAAGCATGTTACAACAATCTAGAACATACAATCCAGCATGTGGTTCATCTGCCATCTATAAACCATTTTTTTCTTTGTTTAGGTTCCAGCACCCAACAGCTGAACTGAAAGGTCAGTGATTTTGGTATCCTATTATGTTTATGTTTACAAATATCTACAGTATATTAAGACATTCATTGCAAATGTAATCATGCACCACATATTTTGATCATCATTACTTTTTATGGATTTAAAAACAATTTTGACAATTCTTACAGAGAGCAACAAGTTAAACGTGTCTGTATGAGACATGTACTCAAGTGTAAACTGTAAAGCAAATATGTACGTTTTAAAAGGCAAATATTTTCTAAATACTGATTTTACAAACCTATTATTTTGCTGAGATCCCACCAAGTAATTGCTCTTCATCCCTGCAGTTATTGGGATGCTTGGCAAGATAGATGTGGCAATCGATGGGACTGGGACTATGGCAACCGGCTGGTGGATTTTAATTGGATATTTCTGGCACTCCGAGTCAGATTGATTGAGACTGGGAGAGTCGCGAGATCTTAATTTAGTCAGCCTTATATTGTTACCCTCGTGAGCAGTGAAAGGTTGTACAAATCAATTTCACTTCCTGCCATTTGTAAGTGAACGTACATTGAGCCAAAAGTCACAAAGATGATGCACACATGCCAATGCTTTCCTGTGTCTGGTAACTTGGTTTGGTAAATTAATCTAAACACTATTTCCTTTTTGGTTAAAGCTTAGAATTTAATTTCAAATATTTAAGCCATTAAAGCAGTAAACAATTCACCCTTTTTACATATTGTGACAAATATATTCCTACTTTAAGAACTTCATTAACTGTTTTAACCTACAACAAAATCCTTAATGGTTTTCATTTGGTAGGTTTATTTTATATTGTTTAAAGGGAATAAAATATTCAAAGCTTTGAACATCTTAACACCATCTTTTATTTTAATTAACGGCTTTCTAAAACTGTATCCAACTTAACATGTTTTTGATGGTTTATACTGTACAGGCTCCAGACCTAATGCAACATCATAAATGTCTAATGGTCTTCTAATGATCGTCACGCCATAAGGTTCATCTAACATAACAATTACTCTCAAAAGGAGTTTAGCAGTTTTCTTGTTTTGTGTTCGATGTAATGAAGTTGAAACCCATCAAATGGTATGGGTTTGCTGTACTGATAAATATGGGACTTCTGATTGAATAATTAGTGTTTGCTAGACTGACATTTATGCAATAACATTGGCACAAGACATATAGTATGCACATATTTTGTTTGAATGGCAAACTAGAGTGCCAAGTCAGAAAAGTAATTTATCTGCAGAATAACGGAATTATGTTGGATGTGAAAAAGGCTTAAAAATACTTTTCCCAGTGTCTGTTCTGAATTAAAGTCCACACTAACACTTGAGAGTTCAGTCAACAGCGGTTAGAAAGACTTGAATAACTACAGGTCTGACAAAGCCATCTTCAAATTACAGGACTGCAACAAGAGGAAAAGATCTCACCTTTAGGGCGTCAGAGCGGTTAGCCAGCAGTTGCTCTATGTTCTTTGAAGCTGTTGCCACCAGTTCTGTGGCATTGTTGGATTCCACACTAAAGTGGGTTCTGTGTTTTTTATATATCTAAGAAAATCACAAAAGAGACAGGGAAGGGTCAGACACAACAAGAACTTTGGATTGTGTTAAAGGGTATAAAAACAACAACTAGAGCTAAAAGTCAGACATGCATCTATCTTTCCAGTTGTTTTGCACAAAATTCAAAAGCCAGCATTACAATTAAGTAGTCCTATTATTTTATTAGATCTCCCTCAACAAGTAAAAGCTACCTTTCTACTGATAAAATTGTAATGTCAGCTGACATAACCTAAATATTCACTACAATACAGAATACTTTCTAGCATAATGCATTAAAAGGCCAAAGATCCAGTTACTCAGCAGCTGGAAGGCACTCCATTGTCCTGCACACAAATGACAGAGCTGAGGCAGATGACTGCATTTGTCTTCATGGTCCTTGAATTCTGCTACTTTAGTCATACAAAAAAGATAATCTTGTTCACTGCTGACTTTCGTAAGGCTTTAAAGTTGACTGATTTTATCTTCAAATGAATCAGAGTGCATGGTAGAGTGCATGGTTGTGGATTAAAAATTTGTCATTTTTTTCAAACATAGATTTACATACAATTTTGGCCCTCACTTGAAAACATTTTCTGGTTGTATATTGCACAAGCTGACTGGAAATATGTTTCTATTTATAATAAAGGCTATAATGTTTGATCATTTTAACAGATCAGGCAAATAAAAAAAAAAAAAAAAACTTAATATTTCTTCAGGTAACACTGTTTCATTTGCTTGTACTACCTTGGTGCTTCTGTATATTTTCATGCCCCATTTAGAATAATCAGGGATGTTTCCCTATTCCATTAGGAAAAACTGCTAAAGCTTAGAGAAATAGGTGTGAAAGCACCCCAATTCTTCAAAGATTGCTCTGGATTTTAGGCCTGTCCTATAAAAACAGAGTAGTATGCCTCTAGACAATTTCTCCAAAACTACTGTATGCATAAAAAAGTTGAAGGAAAAGTGCTATCTACCAGAAAAAAAAAGACAAAAACACCAAATACCTTTCCACAATAGCTCAGGAGGAGGTTTTCATGCTTATCCACAGTGTCGCTGCATTTTGCTTATTGCACAGTTTTATCCTGTCATTTATGCTGCTGTTGTCATAAAATCCCAATTAAATACATTGCAGTTTTTGATTAGACAAAAACATTTAATGGATAGTTGGCAAGGTATAATACAGTGAAGGAAACTGAAATGACCTGAGTTGGGATTGAAGTTGAGTCACAGACAGCAAAGTGTTCATTATTTCCTATAAAATCCATTTCTGTTTACCATTTGTTGTAGAAGGAAAACAACAACAAATAGCCTCTTACCTCTATTAGGTCCTGCAATCCACTGGCTTTGTCTGTTAATGTGATCAACTCTTTTTGAATCTGCTCCACCCAGTCTTTTACCCTGTAAACAAAACAAAAATACTGTCTCATTCAGTTGGAAAACCTCCTTTATTACCACATCATATTACCAAGTAAACCAACTTACTAAAATATCCAGACAGACTCAGGGAAGGGAAGCATGAAATATTAATGCTTAGTCAAGGGTATACTGTATATTGCTCTACTTCCCATGAGCTGTGTATTAAAGCAAGAGCTTTCATGGTTTTTAAAACATTACTGCTATGGCCTCTGGCTTTAAATGCTAGTTAATGCAAACTCCCCATGATAAATAAATGAAAGAGACATGCGGGAAAAAATGGATTTGGAGATTTTATTTGTGTTTGTTTTTTTTCTTTTCGGAGTGGGGGAATTTTACACACCAAGAAAAGATGGGAAGATATGGTACACATTTGAGTCAAATGCAATCCATCTTTGCCCTTGTTTTTCCAAAACAGCTCAACCAGTGGCATTTTATGACCTCAGTGTGAATCCTTTGTCTGCTGATATATATATAAACAGTTAAGAGAACATCTAAACAGCTGTAAATCATATTTCTGCACAGTAACTTTACAGGTGATTATAAGGACAGTAGCTCCTTATAGAGCCACTGACATCCTGTTTAGTTATAATTAAATGTTTGTGCTTAAGTGTGTGCAGCATAAGAGATTTAAAACCATGTGATATACGAGATATACTTTTGCAGGGCACAGCTGGCTTCTAATGTATTGAACTTATAACCTATAGTACACCTACAAGCTTCTGTGTATTTTTTGGATTAGACCAATACAAAGTAGGACTATTTCTCAGGCTTTCCTTTGTAAAAAAAAAAAAAAAAAAAAAAAAAAAAAAAAAGCATTGTAGTGAATCAAACTTAAAGTAGATGCGATTTGGAGTTGATTTTGGGGTAATCTCTGGCAGTTTCAGAGGCTTTAAAGTTGTTTTTACTGATATAATTATATTGCACTTGAAAATGAGACGTATATCGTTTTTTAAAGTTTTGGCCACATTGTCCAGCCCTCATAAAAAAACTGATATAATTGCAGAAAATACAAAATAGACAAACCCATGAAAAATTGCATTTTTAAGTCAGACAGCCTATCATAATTGGAAAAATAAAATTAACAATCATTGTTATGCATGTTTGTTTCCTGATGTGTTATACTTTAACTTAAGGAGAACATTTTCCAGTGTATGTGTGCAGTTAAACAAGCTGAAATTCATATCTTAAAGCATTAGTAAAGAAGGTTTTCGGATGTATTTGGATTCTGGACCAGTCTAATATTCAACAGATGGTCAACAGATGCTACCACAGTCCATTAGGCTGTTAAACTGGTAACTTTGTGATTCTTTCTCTGCAAAAAATGGAAACTATTTCCACATTTGAATTTTCCTGAGGAATGCAGCTTCTTCAGTATTTGAAATAATCTTTAATTCTATGAGAACGCGTCATATGTTTTAAAGAAATGACCAGTATTTAAGTTATCAGATCAACTGATAATACAGTGTAATATGACCAGCTGAAATGTGGCATAGCAGCCACATATTATATTTAGCCTGCCAAGAGACAGCTGCAAGTGGCTCAGGGCAAATATAGAATGAACTTCATGTCAGCACATTCCCTTTTTCAAACTTCTGTACAACACTTATGTCTGACCTATGCCAGAGGTTTGCAGAAGGGTAAAGGCAACTTACTGCAGTCAAAATTAAACAAATCTTTGTTAATATTCTGGAGTTTATGATGACATTAACGTGACTTCAGAGTTTGAACTTGGTTATCTGAACATAGACAGCTGCATATGGCGCCTTTTAATCAGGAGCTTTTTTTTCTAGCTATACCAGAATTCCTTTTACAAAGAACACAATGCATAACAGGTGTTTAATAGGAATTAATGAATGTGTCGATTATAGTTAGAAATAATGTAACACTTTAAGTGAAAACTTGTTAGGTCAGTTGACCATTTTAAATTCTTACTATATTCAGGTTTCATATATATTTTCTGCTACCTCCAGCTTTAGGTTGATTAACTGAACTGCTTTATGAACTACAGCTCAACCCACAATCCATTGATATGTCCAAACCAGTGTTCTAACCACTTAACCCTTTAAACTTTAAAACCTTAGAAGGAGCGTTCGTAAGGTCCAACAGACTATCCAATAAATCTGGGACTCCCAACACTGATGGCACATGTAACATCTTTATGACGATGATTAAACTGCAGGGAAAATCAAGTTATTTTGTTTGCCATGCTACTTCCTATTGGTCACAGTGATAACGGTAAATTACACCATGAATTGAAAGGTTGATGTAAAGTTCAGGGATTTGCTCATTTCCACTTTACAGTAATAGCCTTTACGGTCAAATTTGTCATGTTTTATTTAAAGTTTTCAATGAGGTAGCTTCTGCTATGAATGGTTGTGAAATTGTTACTTTGAATTAACTTATTTTCAGGTAGAATTCTACTTTAAAACTCTTAGGGCTTGTTTTAATCAACAACACATCAACTCCTAGTCTAATATAATTGCCTTTGGCCCCAGTCCCAGGGTCAGACATTGCAAAGGGGTCATTGCTCCATCTCTCCATTACTAGAGGTCCCAGACTGAAAAAAACATTTTGATCCCTTTTTTCAAATCTATACCTGTTTTAAATGAATCCTAAATAAATATAAATTCAATTTGTTTTCATGCAATGATTCAACACAAAGAAGCTGGTGTTTGTAAAGTGAAATAACGATATCTCTGCAATCAGCCTCCTTAAGCAAAAACGTATTTAGTGCCTTTTAAAGCCTACGTATATATCTTTTAGGGCCCCAGCTTTGCATAGCCAAAAACTTGACAGAATCTGTAAACATCAGTTTAAAATCTGAGCTTTAACTGGGCGGTTTTTGCAAGCATTCATGAAAACGTACAGCTCTGTCAGTAAATAGAGATGAAGCTCTATTGTAAGATAATGTCAATGCTTATGTAATACAATTTGTCTACTTTATTTATTTTGAGCAAAAATAATTTTAATATTGAATATTATAAATATTAAATTAATAAGCGATTACAAAGATTTTAAAGAATTTGTAAAATAACTGAACTTCTGCGATGTATATTCCGTGTATCAAATGGTTCTTAAAACTTGACTTTTTGACATGAGCCAAACCATTTTAAAGACTACTCGAACAAAGGCATACAATTACACATTTTTATTTAGACCTGTGAGGGTAAAATCTAATGATTCTAGATTTTGTATATATTGTTAGTTAACCTTTTATACTAATTTATTATTGTGAGTGGTTTAATATGTCTCCATTTGCAGGTAAGAAGGAAATTAGAAATTAGACGTGTACAACTGTAATTGCCAATTCTTTAGGTTAATTAGGTCGATTAAACTGATCTTTCAAAGTTATCATTTTAAAATCAATCTTAAAAGACAAGTACATAAAACTCAGTTAAATATGTTTTACTCCTAAATCTCACAAACTATCCATGTCTCATCAAAGAGTCTTTATAAATAGTGAAGGCTCTAGAAATGGAGGATCTCCCTTCTGCGAAGAAGTTTCATTATGGTCTGATAATGAAGATGTCTAAGGCTCTGCATTATATTTAATCTGTAAAGCATCCTTTTTTTGCCTGCTCTTTTAATAATCTGATTTCATTTTTTTAATTTATTGCCTCTTATTCTGGAATCCACCAGATTATGGAAGTGATTGCACTTCATACAACAGCCTTATACAAGATTTGCAACAACTTGCAAGCACAGAGACGAAACTTTATCAAGTAATATAGTCACAATTTCCCATTAACAGCTTCACAGTTACATACATTTTTCCTTCCAGGATGAAAACTTTTGACATATTAGTTTCATCTGAAATCGGCATTCTCTTTTGATTACCTTGTACAATTAGAGGATTGTACCAACACCGTTCACCATTTCTGTCTACTGTGTGCCAATGCTACTGTAGCTAGAAAAGTCAAACTTGAAGATAATGAAGCCAGAGAAATCAAAGAGATGTAACATTTTATTAAAGAAGAAAATGTTTCTTCATCACGTCTGTGGTTTATTCTGCCTCTGGGGGTGTAAAATCCATCTACTAAGAAATGGCTGTGTTTAATAGCACTGGTGTTCTCTTTATACTTCTGAGTTACGGATCTGTTAAAAAAAATTAAGATGTAGATTGGACAAGAATTGTCCTTCCACAGCCAAGAAACTGAAAAGTGGTTGTGGAAGGGTCTTCCATCATGTCAATGACTCCTAACACTGCCAAAGCAGAGAGGTAAAACCAGGGAGTCATAGAAAGTTTGAGCTTGCACCAAGATAAAATCTTTGAGAACTAAACATTTAGTTTGACTGTCAGGGGAAGACTAGTGGGACCAACTCCCAGATTATGTTTTTTAAAAACCTTAAGATTCAGTATTGATGTCAGATGTGTCACCTTTGACCGTTACTTGGTTTTGCAATCCTCAAATAGCAAAAACACAGGTGAGGAGGCCCATATAATATTACGACATATAACACATTTAATGGAGACAAACACTAATAACAACAAACAGAAATGTATAAACCTTCAAAATCCATAAAAAATAAATTGAGTGTCATCGATGCAACAGTCTATTGAACCAAAAACCCTTTAGGGTTATTCATTTGACCCGTTGATCCATATTAATTCTACAGCAGTGTAGAAATTCTGCATTTGTTGTTACAGTTAAACTGGTCACAAATGCTATAATTATATTGCTTTAAGGGTTATATCAATGTTTTTAGGTTTCCTTTGCTTTAATACAGCTCTCACTGTCGATAAAATATAAAGTTGGTGACTGTCACATTCTACTGATGTTAATTTTTTCATAATTTGTGCCTGCTGCTTCTGCCATGTTTTGCTGGCACATACTGTGAATTTATAATTGCTTTTAATATTAAAGTGACATTCTCTAAATGAGTATTTAATAACAGAAGTGTAATGGATTTAATTGCAAAGCCAAACAGCACAGCATTTGTGGGGACACCCGGGGCTTTTATGCCCATGGCAAGTCATCCTA